GGGCACCCCTGAGAACTGTCTGTCCGGGGTGGGGGTCGGGTCCCTTTAAGCACAGCCCTTGGCTAGCCTGAGACAGCAGCTCCACACTCTAAGTTCTCATCTGATGCCCTGCCGGTACTGCTTCCGGCCATCCTTAAGCCCGGTTCAGGGTCCACTCTGTGGGGACATGCTAGTTCGAATTAGCAAAATGCTAATTCGAACTAGTTTTTTAGTCTGGATGCGTTAGTTCGAATTAGCTTAGTTCGAATTAACTAATTAGTTAGTTCGAATTAGCGCTGTAGTGTAGACGTACCCAGAGTGACAGAGAATGAACTGTCATGTACTGTCGTCAGCTTTGTTGTTATATTAAGGCTCATTACATAGCATCAGAACACTTCCAGATTTCAATTCTATAACAATGTATTATACAACCCTATGGATTTGTAGCTGCATTATCAGTCTACAGCCAAAACCCCATCTGTGCCTCTATCACATGAGTTAACTAAGACACATTGGCTACGTCTACACTGGCCCCTTTTCCGGAAGGGGCATGTAAATTTCACTAGTCGTCGTAGGGAAATCCGCGGGGGATTTAAATATCCCCCGCGGCATTTAAATAAAAATGTCCGCCGCTTTTTTCCGGCTTTTAAAAAAGCCGGAAAAGAGCGTCTAGACTGGCCCCGATCCTCCGGAAAAGGGCACTTTTTCCGGAGGATCGGGGCCAGTGTAGACGCTCTTTTCCGGCTTTTTTAAAAGCCGGAAAAAAGCGGCGGACATTTTTATTTAAATGCCGCGGGGGATATTTAAATCCCCCGCGGATTTCCCTACGACGACTAGTGAAATTTACATGCCCCTTCCGGAAAAGGGGCCAGTGTAGACGTAGCCATTGTTTACCCATGCAAAATATAATGGGATATAGAGTAAAATCTTGCTGGGGACAACACATCACTTATGTAGCTTTTTGGAATTTCAGCAGGTTTTGCTGAGCAGTCATAGATACCAATATGCCTCCCTGGAAATGATTCTTTCCTCCTTTAGAAAAATTTTAGTGCATTTAAAGATGTACTGAATGGTTTTGCAAAAATTAAAAGACACCCAAAAACAGAGAAACTACTTTACATAACATAAGAACGGCTATACTGGGTCAAACCAAAAGTCCATCCAGCCCAATATCCTGTCTGCCAACAGTGGCCAATGCCAGGTGCCCCAGAGGGAGTGAAACGAACAGGTAATAATCAACTGATCTCTCCCCTGCCATCCATCTCCACCCTCCGACAAACAGAGACTA